GGGGGATGATGAAGTGCAAGCTTCCTGCTTTTGTCTAACTATGATGAGGTCAAAATGAATTTTGTTCTGTGTTCAATATGTATTGATGACAGAAAAATTAAGAGAATGAAACACTGAGCATAGAGGGTCGTTTTTAAGTAGATGACTCGTCAGGTGGTTGGAGCGGGACATCTTTGCAGAAAAAAGAACTTGAATAAGATTGTTCTCTAAAGAGTTGCCTTTTCTATCAGGAATACCAAATCATTTTAACCTCCAGCATATGTCGGATGCTTGAAGATACAATGCTCTTGCCTGAGTAGGTAGAGTCGCAAAAGATCAAAGAATCTGATGGTATGCAGAAATCGGCATTATTTAGATCACTGTAGTCATAGCTTACCTTGCGAAAGTTCTCGGACACAATTCCGTCATTTTCAGACATGGACAGTTCTTGTACAACTTTCTCCAGTCCTTTGCTAATAGCTTGCATTTCCTCTGCAAGAAATTTAAGTTGTATCTGCAGAAAATTTTCAATCAGACCACTGTCGGTCATATTCTACAGTGACTATATAATTGGTTGGTCCAAATAACGATACCTTTGCTGCAGGTTCCAAGCTAGACAGATCTTTAGAAAAATCTAGCAGTTCGGGCAATTTGTCAGCAAGTACCTGACAGAGAAAATTTCGTCAAGCATCTTGTAAAATATGCTGGTTGCCAGCATAAATCAAAGATATTTTGCAAAGTTATAAATAGTTAAATATCAGCACAATGACATGGAAAAGTGAATAAAAAAGCAATAGTTACCATTAGCACTTTACAAGGAAAAGCTTCATACTGGTCAGGGTCTAAGTGCTAGAGGAGAATTTAACACCAATAGGATAAGATATCTGGAAGTACGACGCGCCAGAAAATTTTGAGGATAGAGATTAATTACATAGATTGATTTGACAAATGTGATGAAGCTGATAACAATGTTCACAAAAAGAACAAGTTTTGTGATTGAATGCATGTCATGAAGGAAGATCTGTGTCCGTCGATCTAGTCATTATTCCTTTTTGTTCCTTATCAAATAAGACCTCCATTCTGCCTTTCAGTTAAACTTATTAAAATCAAGTGATATGCAAATTCAGAAAAATCCAGTTAAAGAGATAATCCCTGATTTGAAAAGAATTGAGCTCCACAACACACTTCAGACACTAATTCTTTTTCCTCAACCTGACCAGTTAGGATTGAATTTATAGTTTATTTTTAGTAACTTCAGATATAGACACTTTTAGCTAGATAAATTACGATAGAAAACAAAGTCACACACAATCCCTGGGACACAATTGAAAAGGACCTGATGACAGAAGGTGCAATCAGCTGATCTGATTGGGTAAATTTAGGTCACAGAAAAGAGATGATTTACTCATGCTCAACATAGATGATTCCTACCAAAGGAGCAAAAATCCTCGAAAGCTGTGTACACTCTACTAATCACTGTACAAGCATCACGGATTTTTATGTCAGCATTTCCTTTAGGAAATGTTATGACTCAAGTAGCGATGGTTTATTTCAGAAATGGATGATTCTTTACTTTGTTATTTTTCCCTCACAAGTTGGACAGCATTCCACTAAACTAAAGAGTATTAATGGCCGGGCCAAGGAAAACCATCAGATCTGCCAAGAAATTGCGACTAAGTGAACTGATTTTATCTGCTCAAGATAGGAAGAAATCTGAGCACAATACAAAACACAACAACAACAACAACAACAACATCCCAGTGGATTCCCACAAGTGCAGTCTGGGCACAATATAAAACACCACATCCAAAATATTCGCCAACCACATCATTATGCTCTCACAAGAAGACTACCAACCAAAGACTGTACCTTGCAAAGATAGTGCATGAGTGTCATCTTATTGTTCCGCGCACGTGTCTCTGTTAGTTTGAGGAGGCTATCTAACCTGAATCCAACAGCAGACCCTACACAGAAGCATCAAGATATCATTAGATGAAGAAAAGATTTCCCAAAGTCCAAAGAGAAAACTAAGTTGTGAGAACTCATTTATCATCTAACTGAAGCAGGGAATTGTTAAATAATTTCAAAACCAGAAAAGCCAATGGAGAAGACAATTGTGGAGATTTATCATCTCACAATAAAAGCTTTGAGACATACCTAGTTGATTTATTTGACAAGTTCTCCTTATCTCTAGAGTAAAGATTTCTACTGCTGAACAAGTCCTCAACTTGGAAATATCTTAGTGGGAACAGTTCCCCAAAACGTTCACAAAAAAGTTGGAGTTCACAGATGCTATTCAACTCCCAATAAGACGTAACAATGAAGAAATAAATAGCAAGATAAGCTTGAGTTGAAAGAGATTGTTAACCCAACCTCTGGCGGTTCCCTGGTTCAAAGCATTTCCGAGAGAGAGAATTGTCTGCATAATCCTTTTCAATTTTGATGAACCCTTGATCTGATTACAACATAAGAGGAAAGATGAAATCAAGGACAGTGTCAAGAAAGCAATCCCTAGTCTTATCTAATGGTAAAACATTAATAGTTAGAAAAGAAAAAACAAAAGAAAATGTACCTGATCAGCCGCCGAATTCACAATATTCAGACTCTTCCTTAGCTCAGAAACCTGAAATAAGCAGAATGAATACGCCATCAGCTAGGAAGTGTGAAACACTCCCACTGCAGCAAAAACGCAGAAGATGTGACATCTTCTCACCTGAGATTCAAACTGAATCTTAAACGAAAAAACTCGCAGCTTGGACTCTATTCGTGGTACTTGCATCAACTCTAACATGAACTGTGACAATGAAAAGATCTTAGAATTAGATGTCAATACATAAACGGTCCAATTAACTCCATGCAGGAGAAAAGTGGGGCAGTAAACCAAAATAAGGAAATAAGTTAGTTCACAATGGACAGACCTGTTCACATCGACCCAACTTCTCCTTCTCTCCTTTATAACCCTGAAACAGATATGTTCAACAAAGCAACATTGTTCACATGGTCCTATATACATCAAGTTATAAGTGTTCCTCTTTTTTTTCAAACAGATATTTCACCTTGAGAGTTTCCATCTCCTCCTTAGTCGGGCAAAACTTAATCAGATTCTCCACCTGATCCACATCTAATGCTGAATCTTCCAGTGCAAGAACTGAGCTCTGTTGAAAATTTTAAAAGTGACAGCTAACAATTAGAAGCATAATTCAAGTTTTAACAAAACATTATACACAGATTGACATTTATTTGTGTGTGCGTGCGTACACCATTCTTGGAAATAATCACGTCAGTATAACTCAACTATATGAATGAGTATATGGTCCAGGGAACATCACAAAGAAGGATGAGAGGAAGAGGGGTGGAGGAGGTTAAAATAAGGAAAACATTTGACATGCAAAAAGTGCATAAACCCACCCAAAATTGGTGATCACAAGATACAACACTTGGAAGTACAAACACCTTTTATTTTGGGATAGGTGACACTAGAATAGTTTTGCTTTCTTTAAATATCAGATTATATTTAAATCAGCAGGGATATGTACATTGGTTATACAATAAAGTGTGGCCTTAGGATAGCAAAAAGCGTGAGTTTTTGACCAAGACAATTAAGCAGTACAGAGTCCAAATCATGTAAGCTTATTACAGAGGTTTATTCGAAAATTGAACAGCTCGTGAGAAAATCTCCAACAAGGTCAACAATGTGATTGTTATTCCTATTTCTGAAAGGAAGTTTAACACAATAATTGAGAAAATAGAAAGGGAGTGCAATTATAAAGTTGAACAGATCTAGGAACAATGGGAAAAAGTTTCCTGTATTTTCTTATTAGGACAAAAATCAATCTTTAACACCGGAATCTATAAAATGATGGGACAAGTAACGTGCTTTAAAATTTAGAATTTGAAGTGTGAAATGAATCACTGTGATAATAGCGCCACCCTATTGCTATAGAGAGGTGGATAGATAAGAACCCAAGATAATATGGCAGAGATGAATCTGAACATTTGGTACAACCAGCTATAGGTCAGAGATTATATTCTAGGATAACCAGATTATCCAAAAAGAAAGTCTTATATGAATACAGCTTACCAGCATATCATGCAGTGGTATTTTCACCTTAGAAAGCATGATTTCACAATTATAAGCCCGTCTATGATCAACCTGCCAAAATAGAATTCAGGTAAAATCTCTCTTAAAACTTGGACGAGCTGAAACAATGACACAGTTACATCTTTCCTCCACATCTATATGTGAAGCGAGAAAATGCAGTAGCTTCCACAAAGCTATACGAGTATCAGTCGGGATGGGTTAGATGAGATGTTACTCGTGAATAGGAAGATTTAACTGAATCCTTGACAAAGAAGCTTAGATAATTTGTGGAAAACAAAATCGGAAGCATAATTTAAAAATATTGTTTGTCCAACCAGCATGGATATATAACTGTAAAAGATCCCAATCTCTAGGCCAAAGAAAAAGAATCTGTTAATTAGGTTTTTTGCGGTACAGAGAATGTAAATACTAGCTAGAGTAACAGCAATAGATTTTTTTTAAATGGCAGTGGTGTCCGGGTCAGCCTGCGCACACCTCAACTATTCCACCCGGTACTTGCTACCTTCCACCAGCACAAGTAACGGTTAACTATATCAACCACAGATCACCTAGTACTTTTTTGTCTCCGCCTGAGAAGGTTCTCCTCTCACTTCATTGACTACTTGGCCACACCCTTGGATGCACAAATAGCAAATATTTTACTGACCCCCGATTTAAAAAATTTGTAAATTACACATCAATATCTAACGAACAAGATGCTTCCATTATGAATATGAAAGTTCCATTGACCCTTTATTGAAAAAATGTGAATAAAAATCATAGCATTTGGCAGTTCCTTTTTTCCAATAATTATCTTTTAAAGAAAAGGACTAACTTCCATAAGATTTGGCATCCTCAATAATGCAGCTACTATTCCTAGTATCTTTAATTTTATGTTATTCAGTAATTTCAGCGATGGTTCTGAATGAATAACACATCACAAAAGCATTTAACAGCTCCAACATTTGGCATTCTTGACAATCCAACCATGGTTCATTGTGGAATTAATATTTACGATAGTATGGAAAATTTAAGTTCCGTTTTAAGTTAACAGTATGACACTCCTATATAAACATTACATATATCAAGTGATGTCACATAAGGAAATAAGGATCACTTGGAGCAAGCGTGCCTAGAGATAAGAGGCGTCACTACGACACGTCAGCATTGTGCTCCTCCTTTCACAAACTTAGTTTTTTAGGAATAAAACTCCATGGGATTTCAGCCGGAGAATTTCACTCCAGAAACCCTTTCGAAAACAAAGTTTCTTAAGGTGAAAACTAGCTGAACTAAAAAGGATCCACTTGAAAGCACAGAATAGTGTCAAGAAAGAGGAATTGGGGAATGAGATGCACGGAAGGAAGATAAAAAAAATACAAGAACATGATCAGAAAGTGTATATATTGGAATTAGACTGTTCATAACATTTAATACTTTTAGATTAATGTCAAATAATGGAAAACCAGGAACAGTGCAAATGACTTAAGCGAGATAAACTGATTCAGGGAAACTTTGCACGTATGTTTATAAGGAAACTTAGATGTCATATAGACATAAATAATTACCAGCTGCACTTTCTATGTCAAATAATGGAAAACCAGGAACAGTGCAAATGACTTAAGCGAGATAAACTGATTCAGGGAAACTTTGCACGTATATTTATAAGGAAATTTAGATGTCATATAGACATAAATAATTACCAGCTGCACTTTCTCCGGCTTCTGCCCCACTGAGGTCCTCGAATTCCTTTTCCCACCTGGACCGCCTTGTCCTGAAGTTGGAACTGCAGCTGAAAAGAGAGATTCAAGCTCTGATATATCAATCTCTGGTGCCCTATCAAACAGAAATTGAAGGACATGAGACATTGTATCTGAAAGAATCTAAAAGAATAAAAATGATTTGACTGATGACTACTTTCACACTCAAAGTTAGCACCTACTTGGGAGCATCACTACATTTTTGAGCCTCCGCCCACAAGCTTCCTGAAACTGCTCTAGATATCTTTAACCAATGTAATGGCTTCAGTTTCTTTGATGACTGGCTTCTTGAATTCATGGTACGAGATAATGGTCCTCGGCCCTTTAGGCCAGGCGGAGGAGCAGAAGGTGGGGGCGGAGATGGAGAAGTAGGGAGATTACTACCTTTTGATGCTGACTGTGTCGGACCAGAACCTGATTTTAGAACCGCCTTAAGAGAAGGGATTGGAGGAGGGGGAGATGAAGGAACACTCTGTGGAGAGCCCAATGCAGGAGGAGGAGGGGGAGCTGAAGGAACACTCTGCGGAGAGCCCAATGCAGGAGGAGGAGGGGGAGCTGAAGGAACACTCTGCGGAGAGCCCAATGCAGGAGGAGGAGGGGGCAGCGGCACTGCAGATATATTCGTATGCTTAGAAGCTGCAGCAGGCAATGGAGGGGGTGGTGGTGGAGCGGGTCCACCACTACACGAGGAGTTCTCCTTCATAGGTTTCCCAGGAAGAGGTGGAGGGGGAGGTGGTGGCACTCCACTTTGGGAAACAGCTTTTTCCTTCAAAGGTGGAGTGGGTGGAGGTGGAGGTTGAAGCGATCCACCAATAGAGGCAGAATTTGCATTCAATATTGGGGTTGTAGTCAACTGGCATGGGGTTGGTGGTACTCCACAGCTGGACGCTACTTTTCCATTCAAAGGTGGCGTGGGTGGAGGTAGAGGTTGAGGCGATCCACCAATAGAGGCAGAATTCGCATTCAAGATTGGGGTTGTAGTCAACTGGCATGGGGGTGGTGGTACTCCACCGCTGGAAACTACTTTTTCCTTCAAAGGTGGCGTAGATGGAGGTTGAGGCGGTCCATTGATAGAGCCAGAATTTGCATTTAATATTGGGGCTGTAGTCAATTGGCATGGAGGTGGAGGTGGAGGTGGAGGTGGAGGCAGAGGCGGTAGTGGCTTATCTAAACTTTCCTTCAAAGCTGGGACTGGTTCAAGCGGTCCACCACTACAGGCAGAATTCTTGTTCAACACAGGGGTGGTAAGTAATGGGTATGGGTCTTGAGGAGGAGGAGGAGGTGGTGGTGGAGGTGATGACACACCTCTGAAAGATGAATGTTCCTTCAAAAGTGGGGTAGGAGGAGCAGGTGGCTGAGGTGATCCACCAACAGGAGCAACACTCTCATTCAATAGAGGGATTGGACGCTGTGGAGGTGGAGGTGGAGGTGGTGGTGGCGGTGGTGAAATATTGCTCCTATGGATGACTTTTTGTTCCATAGGTTTGATAAAGGGAATGGCAGCTGATGGAGAAGAGAAACTGGGAGATGGAGCTACAGATGGAGGACAACCTCCAGAAGGATGAGGAGGTCGAGTAGGTTCCCTTTTAGCAGCTTCATCAGCTGGCTGCTGCGTTGTTACAGGAAGCAGAGATGTATCAAGTTGAGACATAGTATGTCTGTCTTCCTTCAAGGATACAATTGCAGGACCTTCGGTTCTGGGTGGAGTAGCCGGAGATGCAGAAGGTACAGTTCCTGTGACTAATTTATCCTTCATGGGAGGAGTGAGCGGTGCTGGTGCCACCGGGGGAGGAGATAGAGATAGTCCAGTACAATGAGGAGGTGGAGTAGGTTCCATTTTAGCAGCTTCATCAGCTGGCTGCTGCACTGTTGGAGGAAGCAGAGATGTATCAGGTTGAGACTTAGTAGGTCTGTCCTTCAAGGATTCAATTGGAGGGCCTTGGGTTCTGGGAAGAGTAGCCTGAGAGGCAAAAGGTACAGTTGCAGTGACTAATTTATCCTTCACGGGAGGAGTGAGCAGTGCTGACACTGGCGGAGGAGATAGAGATGGTCCAGTACCAACACCCTGATCCTTTCCAGGTAAGGGTGAGGATGGAGGCGGAGTTGGAATACTAGTCTTAAACGGTAGACTCTTGGTTTCAGGTAGGGAATGGAAGTCATTCAGCTTACCACATTCTTGTACATGAGGATCCAACTCTTTTACAAGTGGAGGACGTCCTGATGTTGGGAGAACATGCGGAGATGGTTGTGATGACTCAGAAGAAGCACTAGATTCTGTACTAAGGTCAGCAGGAGAAGGTTTTGAAAGAGGGATTGATGGCTGCAATTTTGACACCTTCATCTCACTTCTGGTCCCCACAAATTGAGATTCAGCTTTCTGTTGGTCACTTTGGTCTATGTTGGAGGATGATTTGATGGACGACACCAACTGATGCTCCAACATAAATGGTGACGAGCCCTTAGCATTATTGTCCAGAGGTGCATGTCCTTTCCTCTCTCCAGGCTTCTCTAAAGTTGCTTGATCGAGGAGCATGCCAGTGTCGGTACACTGTGGAGGAGTGGATTCCAACTTGTCCTGGATCAAACCTGACGTGGTTATTTGTTGGAGCACATTACGAGCAGCAGCGCCCTTCGGACTTACCCAATCTACACTGTTAAAGATCTCCTGAACTTTGGCAAATGCCTCCACTGGTAGGCCATCCTTCTCCTCAAAACAGGACAAATCTACAGGAAGAACAGAAGCAGCAGTGTCCATCTCTGAGAAAAGAACCTACATCCAGAGCACAACTTTCATAAAACTACAATATGCTTCTAGCTGGAGAGTATCAACAAAACATAAACAAGCATTTTATACGAACAATGATACCTCTGCTCTGAAGTCTTTTGGAAATTGATCTTTAGCATCCCATAAAGTATCAAGTTCATCACGATTAAGTATCAAGATGTTGGACCTAACAAAAGCTGTATTAAACATGGTCCTAAACATCATCTGTTCCCGCTCCAGGTCATCGTGCAAGCAAATACATTCCAATACAACATCTCCTTGAATATGGCAATTGATATCAATCTTAACTAATTCACATTCTGCCTGAAATGACATTATAAAGATATCAGATCAATAGTCAGCTGTGTCCTAAGTAAGAAGTTATGCACAACAAGAATGGGAAAGAGGGGGAGAGGGAGAAAGCCCAGATATAATTTGTACATGCATTTTCGAGCATGTGCATATAAACATGGCCAAGTACAACCTAATTCAACTGGATTCTACTTGAGCAAAACCATAAGAAGAATGCCGGTCGAACAAAATGTCAGAAGCTTCATTAGAACAACTTGTTAAATAGTCCAATTCTCTATAAATCAAACATCTCTGGAAAAACCGTAAGAAGACTTGCTTCTCTGGGAAGATATGAAGCTGTGGAATCAAATATTAGATAGCTGATCCACTCCAAATCAAACATATTGATCTCATTGATAGAAGATAAGTTGTACTATCAGAGATAAGTTCCCCATATGTTCCTTGATTCATTTTCATATTATTTACATGTGTTTTTTCAACTTTAGATGAAGTTGACAGGTCTATATTCCTAGAAACAAGCATGCTTAATCAACAAAACAGAATAAAGATACCCTTCCTCAAAGTTAGCAGAAACCCTTTGTAAGTATCATATGTGAGGTGGAATAAACCTCAAGAAGGTTTCTTTAAACTCAATAGAGATGGGTGTTGTAAGGGTAACCCCGGGAGTTCTGGAGGTGGTGGCGTTCTCAGGGACAGTAGGGGTTCTTTTGTTTTAGCTTTTGCTGAACACTATGGCCTCTGTAGTAATAATGTGGCTGAGGCCAAAGCCATGTTAAGTGGCATGCAACAATGTATTAGCAAGGCACCTTAAATGTCATTGTTGAATCTGATTCTCAGCTGATAGTAAATTTGATTAATAATTTGATTAATAGCAAAATGAAACCACCTTGGCAGATCAAGCATATCATATATCAGATTGTGGAGCTCTCAAGCAATGGAAGTTTCAGTTTTGTTCATATTTTTAGAGAGGGCAACATGGCTGCGGATCAACTAGCTAATCTTGGTGAAAGAATGAGAGATCAAATCACCTTTGAGGAAGTTTCTGATTTACCTAAATAAGTCAGAACTTCATTGAGGCCTGATCAAGATGGCATCCCCATTTTCAGACTTAGGGGTCGTTTGGTGTGATGCATTAGATAAAATAATGCATGCATTAGCTTTGTGTATTAATAATACCTTGTTTGATAGACATTTTGAAACTATGCATTAGTTATGCAAGCATTAGTTATACATCCTATTTGGTATTATCCTATGCATAACTAATGCATAGAAAACCATGGTATTAGCAATGCAATGGGTTTTAATGCATGCATTAGCTTAGTTAAAGACAAAATTGTCCTTCAAAATTTATGCTTGACTAATGCTAGTTATTATATTAATGCAAATTTAAAATAAACCAAATAGTGAGAAATAAAATTATATCTCTAGTAAATAAATAAATACTTAGCATATTCCTTTTTATAAATAAATATTAGTTCTATATTACAATATAGGTAGAAAAATCAAATAATTATTTTTAAAAAATTGCATATAAAAACATTTCTCAACATATGTGTCTTTTAAAAAGTTAGAGTGATGGATTGGTTTTGAGGGTTTTTTTTGTAAACAAACAATTCTTTTAGAAATTGTGCAATGCTTTAATACATCAAACCAAACAATGGATAAAAAATATGTCAGCATAACTAATGCAAGCATAACTAATACCAGCATTACTAATACACCATATTCAGCATTATTCTTATGCACCCTACCAAACGACCCCTTAGACCAAGGAAGAATTATTTTGTTATTAATACTAGATAAAGCTGATTTTTTTGCAGCATTGTGTATAGTTTCATCATGTAATACTCTATGCCTACAAAGTGTAATGGAGGAGTCCTCCCAACTTAGACAAGTTTTATCTGGTCAAATGCTTATAAGAGTGATATGTATCATTCTTCTTCATGTGTTCGAGGCTAAGGTCTATGTCCTCCTCCGTGTACTTATCCTTTTTGATTATCTACGGGTTGGGGTCTATGCCTAAACCCCACCATGGTTCTTTTGTTTTAAAAAGAAAAGAAAAGTATTATATGTTTTTAGTATAGGATAAACTATATTACCTGCTTGTAATGACGGACAACTTTATTCTTCTTTGGAGTTGAGAACAAAATTTTTGGCGATCGATCAGAAACTAGAAATGGATCCTGTCCATAGATACGAAATATAGGCCGGCAACCACCCTCTCCATCAAAATTAGGTATCGCCCTAATAATGATGCAATCCATAGTGAGTGCTCTATCCAATGGAGGCCACTGCATGTTCACATTCCTCCTCGCTACATACTGTAGGTATCTTAGCTGAGAAGGAATTGGATTCAGTGGCTGCAGCAAGTACAAAAGCTCACGAGGAGCCTGCTTATAAATCATGTCTAAAGTCTTCTGCTCTCCAGTGTAATGTTTCCTGTAAATCAATAATGCAGCCAACATAAATGCCAAAACTGGCCAACCACCCCGTTCACAATGCATTAAAAGCACGTTTTGCTGCCCAAGTGAGAGCCAACTTTCACTGGATCTTAGAAAATGGTGTATCACCTCCATTGAAAGCAAGGGACAACCCTCATAGTGCCGAGGGTAGTCCATTATTGTCAGATCATACTCAGACAGAGTATTTGCCATTGGGCTCTGTGATTCCCCTTCACGAAAATTAAAAACCAATATTGAGACGTCAGGGTAATGATCCCGAAGTTGACTAATCACACCTCCTACATAGCCTTTGTAATTTTCTTCCTCCCAAACATCAGTGGTGAAACAGCAATCAAACACTGCATATAAAGTAGAAGCAATTATTAGCGAAACTGATATACAACAGGCACTACCATTTTAAAGTCTCAAAGATTTTACTTTTATGCTGATAAAACAGAGATGATATGAGTCAGCTGTAATAATGTCGGCCTGCTACATTACGTCACGTTCTAAACATCAACACATTTTCTCTTGCCATATTAGTGTTCCGTTTTTCTCCTTTTTTAGAAAACAAATTTGGTTTCTGTTGTCGCAGTACTGTTTGAAACAATATAAGGAAGATTGCCAAGTTGTTTCCTGACAGTTTCTCATGTACTTATTTTTATGCATTACTTGTCCAGCACAACTACCCTTCGAACTAAATGTCCAATTGTCCATACTTTGCAAAAGCACTATCCTGAGTTAGTAGCATTCCATTAATTTTTTTTATAAGTAACATCAGATATTTCATTAATTATACTAACAAACCACAAGCAGGCTTTGGATTGTCTTAACACATTTTTCTCCCTCTTATTTTTCCAATGTCTCAATGAGATCCCTCTATAATACTTGAGTATGTTGGACGAAAAAGTTGAGCTGATCCCTCTGCCAGTTAAGCTGCTTATGCTTCAACTCAGCTCAGCTAGCATGCCAAATATTGTCAAATCGACAGCACTCGATATCGTCATCACAACATTAACATAATTACTTCACTTTCCTAGTCCCAAGAGTACAAAGGGCATTGAGTTGGCCCTTCAGCTTAGTTGAATTAAAATCTTAGACAGTTTCTTCATTGCAAGATAACTTGCATTGTGCTATAACTCAACCCGTCCACTCCAACTTAACATTCCCGTATTGCAGTGATTCAAATTAAACTAGTAACATAGACTAGAAATATTCTTAATCAATCCCCAAAACAAAAACAAAAAAAATCAAGAGCCGGAGGTGATAATAGGTGAATTTGACTATAATCACACCTTAAATAATCACCTTCTTGTGTAGTTTTAATGCTAAAAGTGATAACAAAATGCTCTTATTAGTGCTTTTCATGATTTGCAGGTGATATATGTATAAGGAAGGCTAAGGAGCAGTTTTGGAGTCAAAAATTGATGAAAAAGAGGCCAATTGTGAAATTTCCCAAGTGAACCATGCAAAACAGGCCGAAGATTCAGAACACTGGGTCCACCGCGGTTCCACCGCGACAGAACCGCGGTGGGAAGCAGCTGCAGAAGTTCAGAGATTCCGCGAGGGTGTTTGGCCGCGGTTCTACCGCGACCGCGGCAGAACCGCGGCAGGCGCAGAAACTTCAGGGACCAAAGTGTCAATTACGGGATTTTTAGACCTAAACCCTATTTAAAACATTAGACTTCGCCCAAGAGAGGCATGTATTGATTTTTAAGGTTTCTTAGCAAGGAAAACCATTGTGAGAGAATACTCTAAACATCTTTCTTCTTTTCTTTTGATTTTTTATGATGAATTCAATCTTAGTTTATTTTCCCATAGCCATGAGTAGCTAAATGTTGCACCCCGTGTTATCGTATGTAAGAGTACGTCATAAGTCAATTAATGTGAGCTCAGAAAGGGAATCATCTTTTAAAAGTTTACAAAGTTAGTTCATCATGTTAATGTGGAGGTTACAAATATTTAAGATCATTAGTACCAAGTAGCAAGAGGGTTTGAAGGCTTAGAAGCTAAACGAATTGAAGAAAATAAGTTTCGTCGAAAGTCGACAAGTTGGAATATTTTACCATGTACTTTTGGGGTGATACTAGGGTTATTAACATTATAACGAGATTATATTATGAGTTATTTTAGTCGTACGATAGTTGGTGTTATGTTTTGAAGTCAAGCGAGTTGTGGAACAAAAGTTGGAAAAGGTCATCACAAGTTCCATTTATAATTTGCTGACATTTAGGTCAAATGTAGATGCACTTTTCTCCCAATATACTTGGAATCAATGGATGATCTACATATCAAATTGAAGATCTACGAGTCTAGTTTCCAATGCATTAAACCGTTCTTCGATACGACATCGGGGTAGAGAGATATTTGCAGTTTTGCAAGACTGCACAGACTGTATAGTTGGCAAGTAGGTGTGTCACTAAAGCTTTTTGAGCAATACATTTCGTGTGTTATATGAGGTCTTTTTGGGACATATTATATATCAAATTGAAGGTCTTGGAATCTAGTTTCCAACACTCTTAACCGTTCGTTCATACG